AGAGAGAGAGAGAGAGAGAGAGAGAGAGAGAGAGAGAGAGAGAAATAATCCAAAAATAAGAGCCTATTAATTGCAAATATGCTTCTAGTTTGTTCTGTTCCCTTACACCACAATGCACGTGGACAAAATGTAAAGGACCAAGGTCAACAAGAGCTTATTGGATGACCGACGTCTCAGAGGTTGACAGGGTAATGCAGTTTTAGGTTTGGAGGTCAGCACAAGAACTTGATGCCAAGGATACCCGCCAACGCCGCGGGCTAGGCCCAGGACACAAAGCCTCGCTGGGGGCGGTGCCTCGTGACGTCACGAGACCGCCTCCTGACGCCGGGCGCCAGGAGGCTTCTGGCCGCGCCGGCGCCATTTTGCCCAAGCCTGCGAGCTGGTGGGAGTGGAGCCGAGCGGCTGCTGTAGCCGTCGCGTTCCTCCTCCTTACAGTCCAGACCGCAGGGTGACTAGGCCGTCGGCCCTCGAGCCGAGATTTGTCTTTTTCTTAGTTCTGGGCAGCGGCTGGCCGACATGAGTGATATCGAGGAGAACAACTTCGAGGGCAGAGTGAGTACAAAGCCGCGGGAGCCGTCTTCGGCGGCGGCCCGATGCTCGGGGTCTCTCGGGGACCAGCGCGGTCGGTCGGTCGGGCGAGGTTGCGGGGCGTCCCGAAGGGCCCGCGGGAGCAACCTTGAGGGCCGCCGCGAGCGTCCTCACGTCCCAAGATGGCCTCTGGGTCCCCTGCCTCCGCGGCGCCCGGTTGCCCGCAGCGCTAATGCGCGGCGGCGACTGGTGCCGGCCTGGTCCTATCCTCTCCTGTCGCTCCCTTTCCCCCCAGCTTCCCATCTCTGCTCCGAGGTGCGGGTCCCCGGCGCGGTGGGGCAGGAGGCGGCGGGGCGCTCCCTCCGGCCGGATAGTGGTAGGTGCTTCCTGCGGTGGCATCTCTGGCGACCCCGGCCCTGTAGCGGGGTCTCGGGGCGACAGTGCGCGGGGCTGTGTCCGGGCGGGAAGCGCTGGCGTGGGACTTGCCAGGGCCTGTGTCTCCTTGGCTCTCTGTTGCAGTGAGCGGCCGTGTCTCCGGAACCCGCGGCGCCGCGTCTATAAAGGCGAAAGCCTTGAGGTTGAAGGTGGGACGAGCCTAAGGACGTGGTCAGTCAACGACCGCACCGACCTTAAGGGTTGCTAAGACGGAGCTGTGAAGGGAAAACTACGTAGGAGCTTTTCCCTTCCTGTTGTCTTTCCCTTCATTTGGAAACGAATGTGAAAATGCACTGACGCCTGTTTTCCTAATTCTGTGTTGCTGGGTGCTGTGCTTTCTATCTCAACTTCTAGTGCTTTCTTCCCTGTGACCTTTCATCTAAAAACTGACAGACTCCTTTAAAGGTTTTTATGGTTAAAATTTCAAGACATCTTACCTTAATCTTACGTAACTGAACGAATTCCGTGGCTCGGTGTTTTAAAAATAGCTAATCAGTATAAATTCCAAAAGACGACCTGGAAATTACACCCCTCCTCCATTTCTCTATCGCTCCTCCCCCAGTTAGGAGGGCTCTAGATTTGGGGCCGGATGAATATAAAGATCACACAGAATACGTATCCTCAGCTTAAATATGTTACCATGTTTATCATCCGTCTGAGCTTGATTTCCGAAGTTACCCTAGTAGTGGAAATTGATGGATGTGAGTTCAGGGAAACCCTGAAAAGAAAACAAAAGCCCCAGGCAACACTTTCTGGCTGTTGTGTTGGTATTTATTCTAGTCGCTGGGGGAAAGATTTAAAAAAAAAAGCTTGAGGGAATAATGTGCTGGTAGGATTGAATTTGTCCCTTTTGGAAGTTCAAACTGTCAAGTTAGAAAGTAGATTTAGGCTTTCGTTTTTGAGGTCTCTTTTCTCTTTCCTCCCCTCCCCCCCTTCCTTAATGCATTAGGATAGGACCAAAACTACGTTTAACTTTGATTGGATTATTTGAAGGAAATTTGTGTAGCCGATATAGGTGAGCCTGCTTACTGTTGGAGAATTGTGTTTCGTTGTCCCAACAAAACAAACCTTTTACTTACGATTGTGAAATAAAGGTACTTGGAGATAGTTGTGTTACTTGAGTAATTAGGAAAAATTTTTCTGTCATTTCAAAAAAATTTTTAATGCTTGGTTTGTGGGATTTGGACTACTTGTGTTCCTTTGATCCTTTGGCTCTTTTTGTCATCTAGGGAGGGAACAGTAGAGAATTATTATCACCTTACCCTCCAAAAGAGAAAAAGGTTTCCAACCACTTTTCAGTTAAAATGTATTTAGGCATTAGCAATCTAGTTAACAAAAGGGGGAGGTGTTAATCTAGAGGACGTGGTGCACACCTTTAATTGCCTTTGATCCCAACATTTAGGTGGCTGAGGCAGGCAGAGGGGCTACAGGGAAACCCTATCTCAAAAAAAGAAAAAGGGGGGTGTTAATTCCGCCCTTTTCTGCTGTTTGTATGACGATTTTTTTTTTTTTTCTATAATCAGTAGACTCATTGATACTTTCTGGTTCACTTAAATCTTTTTAAGATGCAACAGTTTTTGTTTGGATTTTTTTTTTCTGAGTTGTAATTAAAGAATTAGAAGAATGCTAGGGGGCTGGAGAGATGCTCATTGGCTAAGAGCACTGGCTACTCTTGTAGAGGACCTGGGTTCAGTTCCCAACACCCACATGGTGACAACCATCTGTAACTCCAGTTCCAGGGGATCTAACACCTTCTCACCTCCGTGGGCACTGCATGCACAGGTGCATTTACACATGCAGGCAAAACACTCATAGACATAAAAAGAAATAATTGAAAAGGAATGCTAGCAGCTTTTCTGAGGGGTTTGCCTATATTTTTTGTTCCTTTTGAGCTGTGCTGGGAGTGGAACCTAGGACTTTGTGCATCCTATGTGAGTGATCTATAACTGACCTACATCCCCAGCCAGTTTCTTAAAACAGTTTAATATTCACTATTTGTTGTGTTTGGTTTTTAAATATAAAAATTATTTTTTCTACTGACCATAAACCACTTAAATTTTATATGATACAACTGCTATGCCCTTTTTTCATTGTAGCTAAAGATGACTAAGGGTAAGAGTCCTAAAAAAGATTTTAAGTGATGTGTTTGTTGAAGTTTATGCGGTACCCTTCAAAGTTTTTTTACTAAAACAAATTAGGAAAAGCTTTGACAGGTGCCAGTATTTAGATGTTAGGATTATCAGAGGTGTTTTTGAAGATTATTAATCTAGCTTTTGGTTGTTTTCCCTTCTGTATGTATTTATTGAGAAAATTTCACCTGCTACTTTAAAGTGCAATTTCATTTGCTTTATCTATAGGTGTAAAAGGGTACTTGTTAATCCCATCTCAGTAAAAGTATTTTAAATTATGTGGAAGCTTTCTGGCGTCTACTAAACATTGAAACTACAATTATTGACTATAACATTTTAGAACCTAATTATTCATGACAATTTTTTGAGGACTGTTAGCATTTTAGAACTTAAGAGCTGTGACCTGGAAGGCCACACAGACAGGATGCTGTGTATATTTTAATTTACCTTTATGAAGAGTACATTATACTTCATTGTCTCGAGCCATTAATAGCTTTTTGCTAAAAGTAGTTATTCAACCCATTTAGATTGTCTTCCATTTTATGAGACTAGAATAAAAGAATGTTAGAAAAGAAAAAGATTATTGACAGAATTCTGTTTTAAGTAAAGCAGGGTGAAACTTCTAAGAGATCTGTATGTCTGATTTGAGATGATCATTCAAATCTGGATTTTAAACAATGCTGTAATCAAGTGCTCTGTGACAGCATTAGTAAGGAATTCAGAAAATGGAACTGAGCAGTTTTTGATCTAGGAGTAGGAAAGTCACTGGATCTTACGTTTGGAGAAGGGAGTGCTGATTGTATGTGATTGTGTATATTAGTGAGTGCTAAAATAGTAACATAAATTTGACTGTATAGTCAGAAAATGGAGGGTTTTGAATTCTAGATTTAGGAATTTGGATTTAATCCAACAAACAGTAAGGACCCATTAGTGAGTTCTTTATTCTGGGAGGAGAATATTGAAAGGAATTTAAATGAAGACCAAAGGACTGGTGTACAAAAAACAACCTGAAATACTTTTTTAAAAAAATATTTTATATGTGTGCATCTGTTGCCTCCATGTAGGTAAGTGCATCCGTGTCATGCAACACCCCTGGAGGACAGAAGGGGCTGTTGGATCCCCTGGAACCAGAGTTATGGACAGTTGTTAGCTGCCATGTGGGTGCTGGGATTCGAACCCGAGTCTTCTGCAGGAACAGCCAGTGTTGTTAACCACTGAACCATCTCTCCAGCCCCTCAACCTGAAATACTTAAACAAAGAAAATCATGGGGGGAGGGGGGACACAGTTGGGGATGTGTAAGACCATTTTCAAGGGATACAGGAGAATAGTTTTGCCATTAAAACAAATAGGTCCATAAAGCTATTAAATTGGCATATGTACCATGCTCATAAACATTGGAAGTTGAAAATGTCCCTTCTGTTCTGTTTATCGAGATAGGGTCTCACTGTTGTTGTCTCTGCTGGCCTTAAGGAAAAACAAGATACTCTTGCCCCAGCTTTACTTGGATGCTAGTATTGCAAGGATGTCCCCAAGACAGGGTCTCATTATGTAGTCCTGGCTGTCCTGAAACTCACAGAGATCCACCCACCTCTGTTCTTGCTGAACACTGGCATCTATTTGTCATCAATAAAAGTAATGAATTGTTTGCTTCATCAAATTTAGCCAAAGTTAGGATTTGGATCTTACTTAATGTTCTTTATAGAAACTAAGGAGAGTGAGCATAAAACTTTGGTTGTTTTGCTTATTCTTGCCTCCTTTTCTGATCTTGTTCTGGCTGTTTGAAAATTTGAAATGTTTTGTAAATACTGCTAGAGTTATTCTCCTTGATATGAGATGGTTGGATGATAAAAGTGAAGTATAAATTCACCTATTTAGAATGAAAACTTGGACTTACGGGCCGGGTGGATAAATATGGCTGAGTGGGTAAAGTGCTTGCTGCACAATCATGAAGACCAGTTTGGATCCCCAGTACCTTTGTAAGAAGCCAGGCTTGGCAGTGTGTGCCTGTAATCCCAGTGCTAAGGGCTAGAGACAGGATTCTCAGGGCTCCCTGGCCAATAACCAGTCTAGCCAATAGGTGAACTCTAAGTTCACTGAGAGACCATATCTCAAAAAATAAGGTGGCTTTGGGTGTGCTGGCACATGCCTTCACTCAGGAGACAGGTGAATCTCTGAGATGGAGGCCGGCTGATGGCTACAGAAAGTTATGAGTCCTGGTATTAAATAAAGACTTGTGTCACCACACCTGGCTATATGTAAATTTTTTAAAGGATTTTTATGTATATGAAATTTTAAAATAATGTGGGGCATGTCATGCCACTTTAGCTTTTAAAAAGACTTCAGCTTCGGCAACTTAATTTCAGATACTTCATCAAATTAACCTTTTTTTTTCTTCTTCTTAAGGGTACAGCAGGGGCTAGAGTGATGACTCAGCAGTTAAGAGCACTTGCTCTTCTAGA